ACAAACAAACAGGAGCTAGAAAAACACGCACTAAGTGACCCAAACATAACCAGCCGAATAAACGACCAATAAAAACGCAAGAAATTATAAAAAATGCATAATGCAAAAACACTAAAACAGGGAGCGGCAGCAGCAGCAGAGCTGAGGGGCGGACTTTACCATGACTCACGGCCAGGAGCTGAGCGGGAACTCGCAAACACGCGAATAAAATGAAGCCAACAAAAAGGACAACAGCATAAAAATAGTGCAAAGCTTTAAACATAACCAGCATTAAGACAAACACGAATGAGTGCTCGGCGCGCTGGGCCAACTAACTAGCTGGGAACAGGTCCAAGCCAAGGAGACCACATCGGGACCAGGAGCCGGAGCCACTCATTAGCCACGGAGCACGACCATTTATGGGACAAGCATAAAGTGGGTAAATAAATGCAAACAAATTGCAGAATGAATGCGTTGCGCTTTCACTGATTCTCTCTGGGGCTGGGCGCACAACGTGGCGTATTAGCAATGTAATTTGATTTGATGTTTCTGTGCTGCACGGCGCAGGGGTGTGGGGGTGGAAGCGAATGATTGTGAGTGGTTGGGGCAGGGCAGGTGAGGGGCTAGAACCGGCCGTGATATGGCCGCATAATTGCGTTAAGCGCAAACACACGAAATTATCGCAGTTGCACTGCTAATTGGAGCAAGTGATTAAATTTAATTGCAACAGATAACAAGCACAAAAAAAAAAACGATGCTCGACCCACAGATACCCTCTAGCGCACTAGCCACCCACTTGACCTGAGTTGTGGCATGAACAACATTCGGGACTTTTTCCGCGAGTCATTTAGTTGCCAGTTTCATGGGACAGGTAAAATATTAAACAGAAGATGACGCCAGCAGATAAAGACAGGTAAAAACAAAAGAAAATACGTGTTTAAATATTTATAAGAATAAATTTACTGAGTATACTGAGTAGACAAATCTGGGTAGTGAAGCTAAGTATGAAGTTGGTTTTTATATTATGAATAAAAGGCTTTTTTTAAAGAAGGAAATGGAGCTGAATTTGATGTTGGTTTTAATAATTTATAATTTAATAATTATAATGAAGGAAATATCTCTTTGTAAATATCATTAATATATTTAAGTGCTTTTAAATTAAATTATCGTTAAACTTAACACAAAAGGTTAGTAAATGTAAATATTTAAAAGCTGAAAGACTATATTCCCTAAAAAGTTGTTCCAAAAACAATCTATTCTTTCAACTTAGCTTGACTGTCACATGATGGGGCATTATCTTAAGACAAAATAGAAAATATCCTTTTTTCATACTTTCCCTTTTTGATGTGGACAAAGCCAAAAGCTGGGAGCGTGGGCGTCTGTTCGAGAAAGCTCTACCCAAAATCTTATGGAATCAATGTAGAGTTTGGAATGTGTCACGATTGGTTGATATGCGACTGGTAAGAGCTGAGCCATACTCTTACGAGCTGAGCCATACTTTTATATCTCAAGTAAACTTTATTTAAACACACACAAAAGACGCTTACTTTGAGTCGATTTTATTAATAGCATTTGCGGCTGCCGAGTGTTTGAGAGCTGTAATACAAATAAGTTTGGCTTAGTTACCTACTGAACGCAGGTATTAGACGGAAATGGCCTTAAATGCCGACAAAAGTACTTTTCATTTACATGAATAAATATTTATTTGCAGCTTAAAAACATTTACACATGCCAAGCACACAATATTGATAGTTTAACAACAAATACATCAATGAAACTGAAAATATTTCTGGCTAATATTTATTTTTCATTGTGCCCCTTGGCATAGCTGGGCCAACTATCTAGCATGAATAAATCGAAAATATGCTAACAGCACTTGGGCTGAGTCGGCTTTGTCATGCAAATTTATGGCGGGGTCAGGTGGGAGGGGTAGTGGGTGGGGGCCCACACACGTTACAAGTTCAAAAGTCAGCAATTGGCAAACATTTGAAAGCCACTTTACAAAGCATATTAAACGGAAGAGTGCACAAAAGTTATTGCAAAATATTCGAATAACATTTCATATCGAAAATATATCTATATCTATTTTTTTGTTGTTATTTTTATTTTTATTTTGCGCTCTCAGTTTCGTTTATTTGCATTCACAGTTTAGAACTCGTGCAGGCGTTTTTCCAATTTATTTTGCTGCACTCGAAGCAATTTCCACATTCACACGAATCACAACATTGCGAAATGAATATCAATTCAATTTTATTTAACTGCACACAAATGGACAAATTGTTGGGTAAATACATGTATGTGTGTATGCATGTATGTATGTGTATGTGTGTGCCTTTGTATGAGAATGTATGCTAATTGCTGGCTGCACTCATAACGCAAATTAATATTAATTAAAGGCGAATAATTAATGTGTACACATATCTGTGCACTTTTGTTTGGATATTCCCCAGCGTCAACAAAAAATATCGCCAAATAGATATTTGGATAAGTGGTTTTTGTTTTAATTGCATTGGTTTCTGATTAATTACTGTGCAATTAAAGTAAATTAAATACTCACACTCAAAGCGAGGCTTATTTTCAACTAAAAAGGAACAAATACAATTGAGCTCTTCATTAGGTGTTAATTAGTGTCAAAAGTGAGTTAATTCAATTTTTAATTGACAAGTTTGTTTAGGGCTCTGCCTGCTCAAATATGGGAAATACACACACACACACATATATATAAATGCATAGATAATGCAAATACACACATATATATATATATATGCATAGCTATTCGAAATACACACACACATATATACAGTTATATTTGTCTCCCAGCAGCGCAATGTTGCATTGCACATTGTAACGGTTTATGCGTGTCTCCCTCGCCAGCTTCTTAATTCTGTTGTATCAGCTGTTTTTTAAAATGTTATTTGTTTGGCTTTGAGCAATTGTCTTGGCTGAACTTAAAATAACATATGTTTAATTCATTTCGACTAGTATTTGAACTAAATGTGTGCTTCGTTCACGATCAAGAGCGACTGAGCCAGGTATGCAGTTGCACGCTTTTGTCTGCTTAAGCATGCGAATGGCAAATTAACAACAACAATAACAATAACAATAAGTAAAGCATTTACTTACCACGCGTAGATACTTTTTGCTAGCGACGGCGGCCACAAATAAACAGCATTGACCCCGAAACACTTTATTTGGCTTTTTGTTTTGTTTTCGATGCAAACACGCGAATTGTGCTGCAGCTGCGTATTTTGAATTGTAAATTGAAATATGTAACAGGTTTGTGGGGAATAAATGAATACGTTAATTTATTTCGACTCGCGACACTTTCTGTTGATGCTCGTAAAACATTGCACTTTGATTTTGAACGCCGCTGGCAGTTTCATACGTACATATATATTATTATTTACTTTTCGTTTGATAAAGACAGGCTGATATTAAAATGTAGTCGCTGCAAATGAAAAGCCACGCGACGTGTGAAATGAGGTAATTTTTATTAAAAAACACGCACAACTACAAATTGTTTTACGTGAAGTCAAACAGGTTTTTCTATGTAATAAAGGCATAGATAAAGAGGCGCAGAAAAAATGTGGGCAAATGGAAACCGAAACTGAAACCGAAACCGGAAAAAGGTTAACAAGAAAGTACTGGCCAGGCCTAGACCAAATCTATTTAAATATTGCCTTTAAAAAATTACATGCATTCATATACAAATCTTAACAAGAAGCCAGTCACGACGCGAAAACAAACACAATTAATATCACAGCCTCGCTCTTACGCTCATGCAAAGACAAACCCAACAGAAAAGAAAAGAAAAGAAACAAAAAACGAAAAGACAACAGACAACAATAAAAACGCAGCAGTGTGGGCACAGACATAGCGAAAGACAAAAAAAAAAAAGAGTTGACGTTGACGTTACGCCGAATGTAGGCATAACGCGACGTCGCGATGTCAAATGTCGCACAAATCCAATTAAAAACGTTCAAGAAATAAACTTTAAAATAATGATTAAAATGAAATAGCTTCATTTGTTAAGTAGCTGTTTGGAAAATGTATTTTTTTTTTAGTTTTGGCGTCATCGCTGCGGCGGCGGCGGCGACTGCGGCTGCTGCTGCTGCCGCATTGACACAGTTCGCGCTCTCTCGCTCTTGCTCTCTTATTCTTTTTGTTTTTGGTTTTTGCCTTTGTTTTTTTTTTTATGTCTTTGCACTCCACGTTGCTGGCGCTGCTGTTGTTGTTGTTGTTGCTGCTGCTTAAATTATTGTTGTTGCTGCAGTTGTACAATTGTAACAATTGACGTGCACAATCAATTTTTAAGTGAGATGTTTTTTTTTGATTTTGTTTTAGAAAAACGTGTATGAAGCAAAATAAAATAACAAAAACACGTTGGCAAACACAAACAAGACACAACACAGACACGCACTCACACACTGACACTATTTTAGATTAGTTGTGCGAGGCAAGCAACAACACCAACAGCAACAGCAGCGAGCGCTCGATGCCTATGATTCACAATTGCGAGTGTTGCTTTTATATAAACAAATGTACAAAATGTGCAGAATTTAAACAATAATTCAAAAAACACATTAAAGGTGGGAACGAAATATTTACAATAATGAGACGCTAGCGGCGGCTGCTTAACACCGACAGCTACTGAATTAACGGTGAATTTATAAATATTTATTTTTTTACTGTTCTTATTGTCGTTGTCGGATGTGTTGTCAAAAAGTCGTAAATATTATTGAAATCTTGTGTTCGAATTAAGCGCAAATCGAGTGATCAACAAAAATTTATCCGCGCCAAGAAATCACGACGGCCAAAATAAGCAGACTGACTGTTATTAACAGCGAGCAATTCCTCGAAAAAGCAAATTGACATTAGAGATGCAAGCGCTTACGCGGCTCTTGGCTCATTGAAATTGCCGATAGTAATATCTTTTTGTATCGATAGTTGGGCAGGTCGAAATTGAGAAAATTAAATACATCTGACGGAACAATGGCGTTTTCCTATGCTGGCGGGAAATAATAGCCACATTATTCTTTACAAATAAGCAAAACGATAACTCCAGGTGACCTATCGATACATTTTAGCTGTCTTCATTTCGCCGCGAAACATATGTTTATTATTCGCCGTAGATGTTCACTCCACTAATTCGATCAAACAGCAACAGAATTTGCATATTTTTCTTTTACGCTTAAAAATTGATTAAAATGTTTGCTATTTAGCATATGCTGTTCGGAAAATCGTCTAGCTATCATGGAGCAGCTCCTGGATCAGGTAAACTATTACAAAAACAGTTTAGGGCGTTACGACTGTAATGCAGCAGCCTTTTCATATTATAATATCTGTTGTTTAGGCAAAAACAAATGTGCAACAGAAATTCAATGAAATACGCGCCGCACTGCATATGCGTGAAAAGTTGCTACTGCGACAACTGGAGGTAATTGCAAATACGCAGCGCCAACAATCGGCGCCCGTGTACATCGAATACGACACAGACAAAGAGAAAGATAAGTGCGAGGTGCGATTCGTCACTGGCGATGATAACGAAGAGGAGAAACTGCTGGCGGCCATACGCAGCTTTGGCCAGTTCCAGCTGGACAGCAATATGCAGCTGGCGCTGCACAGGTCGCAGGACAACAGAACGGCGGGGCTGCGCAACGAGGACTACATAGAGCCGATGGATGATCACGAGACCATGTACAAATGCCTAGAGAATGGGGTGCACAGCAGCACCTACTACGATCTGAATGATGAGGTTCAGCCAGAGGCCATTGTGGTGGACTTTTCACGCAACAAGGCGCTGCTCGAGGACAATGCCAAGCGCTCCATTATCAACATTACGCTGCAGGAGGCCAAAGATCTGATACGCCGAGCGAAAATCAAGCGAGAGACTTATGTGCCGCCGCTCAATCTCGAAGAGCTGGACGACGAGCTGGAATCGTCCATAGCCGATGCGGTCTCCAATCTAGGACGCAGCTGTCCCGAGCAGCCGTCCATCAAGCAAAAGCCGAAGGCACGCAAGCCCCGCTTCAAACCAAAAATCACCATCAACAACTGCAATGGCACGATTAATCTGCGCAACATTGCCAGCCTGACCATCAACTGTGCCAGCGAGGACGCTGTCAGTGCTGATCTGCCACTCACCGATGGCGCAGCCGCCGCAGCTGCACACACAAAGTTGCAGCAAACTGTGTCCGCGGACTCGAGCAGCAACGCCACCGAGCTGTCCAGCTGTACGCCCACCAGCTCCAATTACTCGAGCAACGCGAGCTCACGTTCGCAGTCCAAGAAGCAAAAGAACGCCAAGAGGATGGAGCTCAAAGAAGAGACACCTAAGGAAAAAAGGGAGCAGCACTCGGAGACCGTTGAGACCACGCCTACACAGCCCAGCTCGACGGGCACGCAAGAAGCTAACTGCGACTTTTACAATCGCTTGCTAAATGAAATCAAAAAGAGCCTCAAGCAGAAGCCAACACGCACATATGAGCCCGTGCCGGAAGCTGCAGCAGCAACAACTACAGCCTCGGTCACAAGCAGCGATGCGGTGCAGGCAGCTGCTGTTGCACCCGATTCCAGTTGCGTGGCCCACTGTCGGCGCGCGCACGGAGACGGGCCGGTCCATGTCTCCAGCACGCAGGGCAGCGAGGCCGGCGAGTCGACGCTGTCATCACAGCTGCAGCCGGGCAGACGCTTGATATTGAAGAACTTTGAGAACCTGAAGATTATCTTAGAGGCAAACAGCGGCGACGAGGACTCATTTCATCCGGTGCAGATCGAACAGTGGCTGGCTGAGATCATATCCGAGACGGACCTGGAACCAATGCAAAATACGGACATACTTGAGCACAGCAAAATCAACAACAGCGAAAGCAACTAAACAAAAGGCTGGCCAATCACACGTCACACGGCGCACAAAAGAGTTGAAAAATATATATCACAGTATTTCATAATTAGATATATACGTATCTGTAGAACCCATAATTTCCTTAAATAACCAAAAGAAAACTATAGTATATAGTATTATGGCTATACACATTTTAGATCTTAAAAAATCACATATTACACAGCTTTTGTGGTCCAAGTCTATGCATTTAAGATTTAAATATGTACCCCAAAAAAAAAGAAGAAGACCTAGTGTTTCATGTACTTAAATGCACTTTATTTTGTGATTCTACATCACATTCCAAGACTTAATATTGCAGCACTTAATACACGATTAAGTTTAGCACCTAAGATTTAGGCCAATTTCATTGTCACTCTATTGCAAACCAAAACAATTTGTATATTTAATCAAAGTGTGAACATTCAAATGCTAAATACGGCTTAGATGCGCTTTGGACATTGTTTCACCTCAAAAACACAGAAATCAATATTCATAGCGCTCAAATTCTAAATACAGTAGTCACTCGCATAGTAGAACGCCAAGGGAAGCTTCCTATTTGCAACAAATTAAAAGCATTAATGAACATATGAAACTATGTATACTTGAAGGTCTTTTAATAACATAAATCAATAAAAATGTTTTCCAAAATATAAGTAAACTTAAGCATTTAATAGAAAACAGCTAATATGTGAAAGTTCTAGTTTGCTAGCGATCACTGTAGCAATTGTACCTGGAACTTGTCATGCTGATTGTGCGCTTTGGCTTTTCGGTAATTGCAAAATGCCAAAGTTGGAAACGTTTCGTGACGCAATCGAAATGGGGCTGAGCACATTTGCCTTCCAAATCGGTTGGGCTGATAAACATATTGAATGACAATCGAATACAACTATATATATATATATATATATAAAGCATTGAATGGGAATTGGAACTGTAGGCATAATTAGCCAATATTTCTTTTATGTGACAAACAAATATTTAAATAGTAACTATGCTAATATTTGCACGCTTTTGACTTAAAACTAGATTGTTTCCTTGAGGTTGTTTAAGTACACTTGAACGCCAAGAGAGAGCCACATTTCGTATTGTCCTGTTGCCGTGTTACGCCGATTTGCCGATTATATCCAGCAGATAGGGCGTAAAATAGGTTATAATGCAATCCGCGCCAGCACGTCTAAAGCCCTTCATTGACTCCAGCACCGCTTCACGCAGTGGAAAGGCGCCCGCCTTGGAAGCATGATATAGCATGGCATACTCGCCGGACACCTGATAGACGTACAGGGTGTGGTATGGATATGTGTCCTTGGTCTGACGCAAGATGTCCAGGTAGGGCATGCCGGGCTTCACCATGAGCATGTCTGCGCCTTCGCTGACATCACGCTGAACCGCCCGCATGGCCAGGTTGCGCGACCCACTCGGCAGCTGATAGCAGCGACGATCTCCGAAAGCTGGCGCCGATTGTGCTGCCTCTCTGAAGGGGCCATAGAAGTTGGACGCAAACTTTGCCGAGTAGGCCAGCAGCGAAACACTGTTCAGGTTGGCATCAATCAGCGCCTGTTTAATCGCACGCACGCGGTTGTCCATCATGTCCGAGGGGGCCACAATGTGAGCGCCAGCTTTGCCATAGGCCACCGCAATGTTGGCTATCCGCTTGATGCTCTGCGCGTTCTCCAGGCCATTGTCGGACAGGAGGCCGCAGTGTCCGTGCGAGGCATACGGACAGATGCACACGTCACAGGCTATGAGCAGATCTGGAAACCATTTGCGAAGCTTGGGCAATGCCTGCACAACAGGATTCAGCGACGAGTCCGCATGGGAGGCCAACTCATCCTTGAGGTCGCACTCTATCACGCCAAAGAGCAACACCGACGCCAGACCCTTTGCGAGCAGGGGCTCCAAGTGCTCGCGTAATCGGTTCACGCCGTAGCGTGATATGCCCGGCATGCTCGAAATGGGTTGTTCCTCATCGTCGTTGCTGATTATGAAGACAGGATACATCAGGTTGTGTGGCACTATTTCACAGCCAGACTCCTGCAGCAGCCGCAGCGTAGGATGATGTATACCGCTGTGCAGTTTCCGATCCATTTTTTGCTCAATTAGTTCCGCAACTGCTGCCTTCGTTTCGCAAACGAAATCTGCTTTCTATTTCTTTAGGCAATTGTCTATCGGTACATCGATTATTGCCCTTGTTACCTATCGATGTCATTCCGATTAATCGATTTATGTGTGAACGCGCGCAATAATGCAGAAGTCTTGTGTTTTTAAACTGAAATTTAAAAAAGAAACTGATTGATTGCTTGATTTACGGCTCCCCAACTCTCCCAATCAACGTTTTGCCTAAGTTTTGTGTCAAAAGTAATTGCAAATTTAATTTTTAGTTTACAATTGCCCGTTGTGCTGAAAATATTTTAATCCATACATATTTTCATATACAAGGTGCGGGCTAAATTTGATCTCTATCCAAAAATGGGATCTATAAAAATATAGGGTTTGATTGATAAAACCATTAAAGAACTGTTTTTGAATCTTGCAATCTCATTCTATTTTTTTGCAATAGTAAAGAACTGAATAAAAGAATTGTTTATTCTGCGTACGACATTTTATTATAGTTTCTTTTTTCAAACGTATCAAGTAACATCAGCTATCTGCTATACTCCTAACACTCAATTTCGCATCCACACACTTTTGAGTGCCTAATTGAAAATTAAATACATGAATTCTAAGTATATATATATATAAGTATGCATATAAGTATATTATGTATGTTTTATGAAAATACTAGATATTAAATATAATTTTAAATAAGCACAAATAAGTACAAAACATATGTTGTTCTCGCCTCTGTCTCTGCCTGAGCCTGACTTAGTTTTAGTTTTAAAATCAATGAACGTAAAACACAACTAAATCCTAACTTAAATTATATCAATTGGACTTTAAATATTTGGTTTGGTTATCAGATGCTAGTTACAGCCCTTGGAAGTCTGTTTGTTGTTTCTTTGTTGTTTTCTTTTTTTGTGTGATGTCGGTGATGCTAATTAGTTCCTTTGTCTTTTTGGTTACATTTGAATAGCCTCCACTAGGAAACCAGGGCATGGTGATAGTGCACACGCCTCTGACGACGTGGCACACGTTTGTGTAGATTCTGTGGCATCTGCTCAGATTTAGCAGCATGCAATATCACGGTGTAGCTGTGCAGTATCAGTGGCTCCTTGTTATTGAGCTCGATTTGATCGATTTGTGTTGCGGGTGTGAGAACGTGTTGTGTGCTGGAGATAGCGTTGCGGAGACACGATGTGTTCGTTGTTGTTAGTGCTGTTGTTGAGTTCGTACTACTCGTTAGCTTTAATTGTGTTGCAGCTTCGGTTTGAGCTGGTCAAGCGAAAGTTACTTGATAGAAGAGCCATTCTTCCATGAAGGACGGCACAAACGCCTTTGTTGTGGTAAACTTAACCTTGGGCTTTAGCAAACGTAGTTGATCCTCAAACAACTGCAGAGATTCCAAGCAGCTGGTGCCGTTGCCATGGGTCAAGTATTTGCCATCTGGCTTGAGCAGCTGGAACGAATGCTCAAAGATGGTGCGTATAAAATCCCAGCACTCGCCAATCGGTGCATCCGAAATAGGTATGTCAGTTAGATCGCCAAACACATAGTCAAACTTGCGCCCCTCGGCAATGAACTTTTTCATATAGTCCACACAATCGCCCACAATGATCTCATACTGATCCGTCTTGCGCTTCTCCAAGACATCACCACAAATGGTATTCAAATACTTGTTGCAGGCCTGCATGACAAGCTCATCTATTTCGAGCATGACCACATGCTTTGGATTCTCCTTAAGCAGCTCATAGAGTAATGCACCATCACCGCCTCCTAGAATACATATCTCCTTGCCCTCGTAGTTCTCAATGCCGCGGCCCATCAGGGTTTCTGTATAGATCAAATCCGACTCGGCAATATCTGTAAACAGTCAAAGATTTTAGCTCTCGAAATTGATTTTTATTATTTCAGCAACAATAACAGACACGTGCCGTGCACCAATTAGGCCTTGACCCTAATTTTATCATGGTGGCATTGCAGTGGTTGCAAATTTACGTGCAACTGGGCGCATGTGTGCGTGCCTGTTGCTCGACTTACTCTGCAATTCGTCTAGAATTAGCATATTGCCCAGCGTCTTGGAGTGCATGATTTGAATCTTCTGAAACGGTGACCGCGCCTCATACACTAGGGTATCAATGTCGTACTCAATAATGCGCTCATCTGCGAAGAGTACAGGTATTAAATATATTATACAAGTTTATAGTTCTATAACTATTGTCAATTACAATACTCTAGGGCTAATATATACATATAATTACATGCATGCAGACAAATGTTTAAACGTAAATTAACAGATTATCAAAGAACATGGAATTGACTCGAAAGAAAAGTTAAGATCAAACGAAAACATATTGAACGTAAATAATATATTTCGAATTTTAAATGTAAGTATGCATCATGCTCTGTGCCTTTTATAATGTATTTGTACGCAGTGCTTAAGTTGCTCAACTACTTATGACATATATGATATAGCTTCAATAGTTTTTCAATATGATAGTAGTAGAGTATTACGGTATACGTTACCTGCAGATGGATAATACCTAGCGACATCGCCACGCTTCAATGTTGGTATCTTTTGACCCGAAAGGGCATTCAATTTAGTGGCTATGGCATTTTCCAAGCGTCTGCCAGTCTGCTCAGTTGGGTGGTTAATGTACGTGGTGGTAGGTGGAGTTGTTGTTGTTGTTGTTTTACATAGTAGTAGTAGTAATAGTTGTTGTTGTTGTTGTTGTTGGTACCATGAGAGCGAACGAACGAGCGGGGCAGGTGACACATGTGCATAGGGCGTACGTACAATTTAATTTGGTTTTTATAATTTTTTGGTTTGTTGTATAATTCAAGAAATTTGGTTCATGGCAATTGATGTTGATGATGATGATGATGACGATGATGATGAAGAGTAGATAGACCAAAGACATCGTGTGGGTTTCAGTTGTGTATTCATGGATATGAAAATAAAAAAGAGTTTATAAAAAATAAATCAAAAATAATTGAGAATTCTTTAAAATAACATAAATAATAGGCTCTTTTTGTTATTATTATCATTTTGTTTTTTGTTTTTGATTGGATTTCTAGCACGACGTAACAAGCATGCAAGAACTGCCGGAATTAGGTGGCAATTTCTATAGGTAAGCTAGCTAGCTAACCGAGTTATATTACATGGATATATGTAAGGACTACAATGTATATTCAAACAAAACAAAAAAGGATCTCTGTAGTGGTGTATGTGATTGACAAGCCGTTTGCGAATTTATAGAGCCATATTTTGGCTAGGGCCCGTGCAACCAAATATTTGATGAGTATGAGTTTATATATTGTCGAATTGAGTTCAATTACAATTGGATGTAAAAGGTGTATAATTAATTTTTTGGTTTTTGCACTGCTTGAGTTGCAAGTTTTTGGCAATTGATTTTGAAGAGAGAATTCGGCATAGGAAGATATACGAGTAAATACAAGGATTGCATAACTCTTGATATACTGCATTATATGTTGCATATAGAACTAGCAAAAACTAAACTTATTTGGTTTTTTTTTTTTTTTTTGTAAATAATATATTCGACCAACCTGAGCTAGTCATGTATATGTCAATATATCCGCCACGTTTTATCGGCGGTAAATACTTGGATCGTTCGGAATCTAACTTTTGACGCAGTATAAGCTCCATTGTACGCATGGTCTGCAATTGTAATTGTCTTTTTATTTAAGCTTATAACAAGTTCCTGACTGAGTAACAAGCACAAATTGCAAAAGTCAATAAATTAGGCAAAGCGAACAAACAAAATGAAAACAAATACATAATTTACTTAAGCAGGTGAGGTTTCTCAGCGCGTTTTTTAGAAAGTTTTCTCAGCCACAAACTATTCAAGCAACTCTTGTTAGCGTGTGGAATATATATATATATATATATATATATATATATATAGCCAGCCCCGCTGACTACTATTTATAGTTAAGTTTGTAAATTCTTACGAAAATGGAAAGTATTCCCAATGCATGTGCTCATATATTTTATACAAATTTATAACGTATACAACTGAAATTACAATTCAAACATGGGATTTTTCTTTTAAGCCAAAGTGCGTAAACTGCGTAAACAGATAACGCTTCCCATACATATGTACCCATATATATGTAAATACATGCATACATATGCCTACGATTGTTTAAATGGCCAACTTTATAGGGAATCGCATCTGTTTTGGCGCAGAAATCATTTCAAGAATCAATAAAACATTTACTCAAAGCTGCACCCACGTGCTTCTACGAAAGAGAGGAAGCGCAGAGCGAGATAGAGAGCATGAATGCTGCCGGGTCGACGCAAGTATACCCTAACCTAAGCTCTGGCGCATGGAGGTTTGTTAAATTTAACTCGAACGTTCACAATGCATTGATATAAGATATAGATAAAATAGTTATATTACATTTGGGGTAACCTTTTATTTTTAAGCTTCTATTATTATATTAGCCGACCTCAAGCTACTCTGTTCAAACAGTATGTAAACATAATAGTGCTCTCGGTAAGGGTATCGAGCAGAGACGCGGTGTGATATAATAGTCGCAAGTAAATTCGTACGCACACATATCCAATTTTGAAGGTCTTGGACACATGCAGACCGCCTGCCAAGCTCGAGTACAATGCGCCCGCCGCCACCCACCCAACTTTTAAGAGCGTAAAAACAATGCCAGCGATTTTAACGGCAAAAAAAAAAAAAAAAACGGTCAAGTGCATGTGACACACCCCCGCCAAAGGGCCGTACACACATACAGACGCAAGCGAAAAATCAATTTCACTTGCCGCTGTAAACCCTTTCACCACCCCTTGACATTAAAAGCTTTTAACAGCTCATAATCTTAGTGTGTGTGTGTGTGTCTGTGTGTGTGTGTCTGTGTGTGTGTGTCTGTCTGTGTGCGTGAGTTTACTTTCACACGTGTAAGTGCCAGAATTATGTACATATATGTTTGTGCATAAGTTGTTTTAAAAATATAATTATAGTGTGCATTTTATACATACATACATACATCAAAGGACATGATAGGCTCCTTGCCGTCTGCCAAATAATACTCCACATTGATGGTTAACAAACCCTGCTGAAAGATGCGGCATGTGATAATTGTCTCCTTATTCTCGTGCAGCACCGAAAAGTATCCATTATCCATGGACTCCATGGAATAGGCGAGCTCCAGTTGGGAGAACACATGTTCCAGCTCGTTACGAACAATACGGGCCACTTCCTGGCGTTGTATTGCAGTTGCTGTTTTTCCAGCATCCAAAGTAAAATCAAAGAGTATTGTCTGGGCAGCCATGGCGAAATTGTCTAGGTTCAGCCCGCCGAATGTGCAAAATACGAATGCAGGTATTATAAATGTTCGATATGCTTTTATCGTGGCGATATGGTCTAAGTATCGAAAGTGACATATGTTCTGTAGCAATATATCGATATATTTTTAAGTTGTTGGAAAAGGTGCCCATATTCTATAAGAAATCAGTCCATTCACCCTGCAATCAGCTGTTCGGTTTGTTTACTTTTCGCTTATGTATAAAAACATGAAACAAAACCCACACGATGCTTGGGGTACACAGCTAATTTGCATTAAAATAAAACTTAATTCTCTTGTTATATTAAGCAGTGAACTAATATGCAAAGTCTGCGCTGTGTTGCTACCACTTTTCAAAATAACACTATTTTAACATTGTCTGTACAATTAACAGAACTATGTTAACACCGATAGCTGCGTTGTCGCGATATACGATAACATAAATTATCAAAAAGTTAAAATCGTTTCACCGAATCGAGTAGCTGAGTGTCGGTATATCGAGTAACTTCGGTGAATAAACAATATTTAGTTTTGAGTTAGCGTTCGCGGGTCATGACACAGGAAAAAGCATAATATGTACTAAAAGGTACAAGGTCGTCTAAAAAGTGTCAATGTTACAGTTTTCCTGAACCTGAACTTGAAATAAGTTCGACGAAAAATGTGTGTTGCGTGCTGCTGCTGCCGTTGTTGTTTTATTTTGCCATTTGCCGAGACTCTACCAGACGCCCCATAGCCGCATTCAAGGCAAAACACATTGGCGTACGTTTGGCGGCAACAATGGGCTGCTAATTATAAATCCCAGCATAAGAGCGCACCGGCGCACAAATCAAGTGATGTCGCCAATGTTCTTTTTGTTTTTGTTGTTGTTGTTGTTGTTTTCTTCATGTGCTTTCTTTGTGCGTGGGCGGACGTCACAGCCGCGACATGGGCATGCTTTACAGATGCCAATGTCGTTACGTCGTCGTTATATAGTTTTTTTTTTTTCATTTTACTTTTTCCCCCTTTTAATACCGTTGCCCACCCGCCTCCCCTCGGGCAACTTCCTTGCCTTCTGTTGGCGCCACAGCATTGCTGTGGGCAACGCCAACATGGGGAGAGGGTGGATTTAAGTGCTGCGCCGCGACTTCCCTTTATTGCGATATGTGCTTACAGTTTTATATATTGATTTTTTATTTTTTCCCAACCGCAGCTCCGTTGTTCCTGCAGATTGTAGTTTTTTTTATTACCCGCTTCGCCCAGGTCTGAATCACAGCGGCGGCGACAGGTGAGTTGCGTGCTTTGTTAAACACTAAAGGTATTTTTAAAAGTATTCACATTTGCAGGCAAAAGCACAGCGCTGTCCGGAGCTCAACATGGGCTGAGCACACCAGAAGCTGTACATCACATATGGAATCTCGGCCGCAATCTGTCCACATTGTAGTCAAGTTCATGCACACGAGGCTAGAAATCCACCCAATGTAAGCACAATTAAAGAAAACATGTGGTAGCTGATAAAGCACAGTATTACATTAAATGACTGCCGCCAAGTGCTGGCAAGACGGGCTTACAACAGCTGCAGCTAAAGTTCACACAAATAGAAACTAATTAACCTCGCTAACTGCACTTGGCAATTGTGCGACATGCAGCAGCAGAGCGCGACCGGCAGCGAGGAGCGGATAACGAGCAGTCCACGCTCCGCACAGAAGTCGGGCAGCAGCACGCTCTTTGGGCTGCTGAGCAAGCGGCCGAGCAAGGTGGAGCCGCATCCCGTCACCCCCGAATCTCCAAGCGTGCAGCGACGACCAATGTCTGTATGCGGCCAATACGATGTCAGTTTCGCCAAGTGCTCGGCGGAACCGCTCAACAATCATAAGAGTCAAACGTTGCCCGCCAACGCCAACGCCAACAACTGCAATGCCACGCAGCTGCTCGACAAATCGCACAGCGGCCTAATAAGCTTCCATAGACGCGGTAATCCCACGTCCAAGAGTAAAGCGCACACGCACCGCTACAGCAGCGAGGCCGGCTCGCAGAGTGATGGCGGCGCGGATGTGATAATGCGTCGCAAGTCGCCCAAGAAGCGTTCGCCTAATCACAATAGATTTAGCCATCAGTTTAGCCTGTGCTGCAAGGCAGAGAAGAAGCCAATGACGCCGCCAGTTACCGTGCGCTACAATTCTATACCCGACGCCGTGGTCAACGCCAGCAACGTGCTCCGGCGCGACAATCTGTCGCTCAGCTGGAGCATGATGGACAACTCGGGCTCGATGCACTCGCATTCAAGCGAAGGAGCCGCCTCCTTTCAGCTGCCATCTGCACAGCGCCCGCGTCCGTCGAGCGAGTGTGCCAGCGCACCCGAATCTCCAGTGGCGGGCAAAACATTCTTTGCCCAATGCGGTACCAGTGCCACCAGCTCCACTCATCATTCGCAGTACTCGCCGTCCAATTCGTTTAACAAGAGCGACACAGTGCATCGGGCGCCGATACGTCCCATCGCAGTGTCCGCGTGCCGGTCGCGTCTGCGCCTTAAGTTGTTTCCGCCTGGCCAGGAGCAGCCACCGCTAAACTCGGAAGAGAGCGCGGAAACACTGAAGCGCGCCACAACGCCACAGCACATGTCGTCGCCGAACATTGCCACACAGCCGGATTCGCTTGACGCGGTCATACAGGAGGCGCCTGGTGTGCGGTTCATGTCGCATGAGAACATGTCATTAAATCGCCAAGGATCCAGCTCTAATCTGGCACGCCAAGCACTGATGGCCGCGCAGGCGCTGAATCTCATCCCGGCGGACAAGGCACGCGAGCGCAGCTATCTTGATGGGCGAATGGGCTCATCCTCGCTGCTGGGTCCGAGCGAGTTAAGTCGCGTACTGCCCCAAAAAGAGGTCACCATATTCGTGGGCACCTGGAACATGAATGGCCACGCGCCGCCCAAGTGAGTTCGAATCTTAATGCAGTATGTTTCCTCATATGAAGTTTGCCATTTGAATTTCCAGACAAATGAACGACTTTGTGCTACCTTCAAATATGGAACATGTGCCTGATCTGGTTGTTATGGGCACCCAGGAGTCTAGCCCAGATCGATTTGAGTGGGAAGTGACGCTGCAAGAGACCCTGGGCCCCTCGCATGTGCTCTTTCACTCGACGACACTCGGCACACTTCATCTGGCCGTCTACATGCGGCGCGATCTCATTTGGTACTGTTCGGCGCCGGAGGACGCTTCGATGTCGGTGCGTACGGGCTCTGCGTTTCGTACCAAGGGCGCGGTCGCCATATCCTTCTGCCTCTTTGGCACATCCATGCTTTTTGTAACGTCCCATTTGACCGCACACCAGCAGAAGGTGAAAGAGCGCGTCTCGGATGTCAAGCGCATTATAAATGCCCTGGATCTGCCCAAGAATCTGCCCAACGCACGGCACAAGAACAAGGATGTAACGCAGAATTTCGACAATGTGTTCTGGTGTGGTGATCTTAACTTTCGACTGGGCGAGCCACGTGAGAAGCTGCTCGAGTGGATACAGAACACAAAATTTCCGCTACCCTCGCATTTGCCGCATGGCTACATGCACACGGATCAGCTCTCATCGGTGCTGGCCGATGGCGCTGCTTTTCGTGGCTTCATGGAGGCAAACATTACGTTTCCTCCCACCTATAAGGTGAAGATTGTGCATTGCATATTAGTAAATTAATTATAAATAGGTGCCTATTTTCAGTATGATCCTGGCAGTCAGAACTTTGATACGTCTTCTAAGCAGCGCGCGCCGGCATATACGGATCGCATTCTCTACAAGTATCGACAGATGCAGGGACTGGTCATACGCCGGCAGAGCTCTGTGCCGGGTGTCTCCACGCCCACGCAGCCTTATGTGCAGTGCCTGCTTTACGACTCCGTGCCGTCTATTACTACGTCCGATCACAAGCCGGTCTGGGCCTTGTTTCGCACACTCATTCGTGCTGGCACTGATGCGTAAGTAGCTGCCAATTAGAGTTGAAACACATTAACTTATGTTATCTATCTTATAGCATACCACTGGCCGCTGGCTTGTTTAGTCGTGACATCTACTTGGAGGGCATGCGTCGTCGTCTAAATAATCAATACACGGGCGCCTCCGCTGTCTGTGCCATACAGTAAAAGTAAAAGTGAAATGGATATACCCGAATTGTAGTTATTATGGAACCATAATCTACGTGCAGCTATTTAGTTTATTGGTAACTCAATATATATATAACTATATATATATATATTTATATAATTCTAGCAGTGATAGTTGAAAATCTGAAATGCTAGTCTTGTTAACTATACCAAAGCAGCTTAAAAACTGTCCCAATGCTTTACCACGGTTGTGTGTGGCCTTTATAGCATATAGTTAGTTATATAACTCAGTAGTCGAATATTCAATACCCTACTCTTTATACCATGTTCGAATATTGTTAGATCTTAGGCGCTGCCTTTCGCCTTAAGGTCTTTATGTAAAACGTTCCTTACAAAATAGAGGCGCAGTCATAATGAAATCTTTTAGCACAAGTTTAGGTTAGTTGAATCTATTAGCAAATAACTTAGCGCAAATATATAAATGAAGTCAAAAGTATATATATATATGTAAAAACATATATATATGTAATAGTATTGTGCGAACAAAATGTTGGGAAAATGCAGTTGTTATTTGTTATATTTATATATTTATTATTTTAAGCTTGTTAAATTACTTTTTAGTTTGTTGTCATATGATGAATAGTGAAATCTTTTACTTTTATAATTTTAAATATTAACTGTTTATTGCTTGTTTACCTACATACATTTACTTTTTCTGCAACTGCAATAACTGCAAATGGCAGCTGTGGGCGGCACTTGTCAAAGTGAAACTCATAAGCGGTGTCCATAAGTGCGTCAACGAGCAGGATGTGCCCGCGGATAGCACTCGAATATGCAGCCGCTCGTTTATTTACCCAAAAATGCGCCAAAAAGGCCAACGACGGCAGCCGGGAGCAGCATGTGCCCCCTAGTCCCCCCCACATCCTAGTCTCCAATTCCAACCGAAAAGCCCTCTCCGCA